GCCTCTGGGGGGCCCCGCCAGTTTCGCGACCGTGAACAAAACGGCTCGGGATGAAGGACTGGTCCCGAGGAAGGGGTCCAGACCTCCATGGGGGTCGACGATTTGTGCACAAAAACCACAGCGTCGGGGGGGTCTGGGGACGCTGCCTCTCGGGGGGCGCAGGCAGTATATTTGCAGATGTACAGCCGGCGCCTTCTGAGAAGCAGCCTCCATTTCAGGATGAAAAGCTGGTCCCGAGGAAGGGGTCCAGACCACTGGGGGTCGACGCCGTGAACAGAAATCACGGCGTCGGGGGTCTGGGGTGGCTGCCTTTCGGAAGGCGCGGGCAGTAGATCTGCAGATATGCAGCGCCGGCGCCTCCTGAAAAGCAGCAGCCCTCCTGCTCAGAAGCCCTCGCCCCCCCCCTGCTTAAGTCGGGCCTGTCCCTCTACAGGAGGAACCTTCGATAACAGTCAAGAATAGCCCGGGGGCGATTTGTTTGACTATTATTGACCATTTTGGGAGAGTGTTCCATGTTTTGTTTCTCGTCCACAATCCCCCTGTCGGGGGACACGCCCGACCTAGCCCCATGCCCCCCGGTGCGCGCCGCCCCGACGAGCGGGCGAGCGGCAGGGCGGCGGACTGCGGAGGAGGGCCCGCCGGAGGTACGGCGGCTCGAAGACAGCGGGGCAGAGGACTTCTGTCGGGACTGGACAGAAGCCCCAACAGTGACACGTCGATTAGTGAATTGTCCGTTTTCGGTTCTCGAGAGGGCGCCGTGGCCGTTATTTTCCAGGCCTGCGCCCGCCAGGTTTGGGCCCCAGGTCGTTTTCATTAAACCACGTTTTACTAAAGGGAGGTCTGTCCATCCCCGATTTTGCATCCTCGGCCTCTCGAAGAGTTCGTGGATGTAAGCCTGTCGCTACATCTGGGGCCTTTGCCGGCGTGAATTTGGGACCCACGGCTATAGGGCCTGGGTATCTCTTGCGCTGGTTTCCCGTTGATCGGCCTATTGGCAGTGGCCGTAGCGCCGCAGGGGTCGTGGCTTGGTCATTCGCCGTCCGAGACCCCTGGGATCCTTAAGGCCCTCAGGAGCTCCTGGGTGGGTAGAAAGACAAGCACAAAAAAACGGCTTCTCGGGGCCCTTCGCGGGCCTCGGAACCGCCAAAACAACGATTCCAGATGCAAGCAAACTGGTCCCTGGGAAGGGGGCCCGTGTTTCGAGAAAATCCAGGCGCCGGATGCCTGGGCACCCTGAGATCTTGGCGTCGCATCTTGTTCACGGGCGCTTCCGCCAGGGTCTGGTCCGCAGGACCCTCGCGGATGGATCCAGCTCGACGAATGCGCAAACAATTATCCCGGCAAAGCAACCTAACAGCGATGTGTAGAAGCATATCTGAAAGCATTCCCCTTAAGATTCAGATGAAAATCCAGTTGTCGAATTCTGCTGTTCTCGCAGTCGTAGTCGCATTCGCGATGACAGTCGCAGCGGCAACGGCAGTCGCAGTCACAGCCTCAGCCTCAGCCTGCCTCCTCCTCCTCCTTTTTCCTCCTCCTCCTCCTCCTCCTCCTCTTCCTCCTCTACTGCTCCCTCCTCCTCCTCCTCCTCTCTTCCTCCTGCTCGTCCTCGTCTCGTCCTATAGTTGCTCGTCCTCCTCCTCCTGGTGCTCTCTCCTCCTCCTCCTCTCCTCCTCCTGGTGTCCTCGTTCTCCTCCTCCTGGTGCTCTCCCCCCTCCTCCTCCTCGTCATCCTCCTCCTCCTACTCCTAGTCCTCCTCCTCTCTCTCCTCCTCCTCCTCATCCTACCTCCTCCTCATCCTCCTCCTCCTCGTAGGCCTCCCCTCCCCTCTCCTCCTTCCTCCTCCTCTCCTCCCTCCTCTTAGACGGTGGTCCCTCTTCTTCGTCTCCTCGTCTGCTCGCCTCCCTGAATGCAAGTCGGCCTCCTCCTCCTCCTCCTCTCATCATCCTCCTCTCCTCCTCCTCCTCATCCTCCTCCTCTGGTGGTCTCGTTCTCCTCCTCTGGTTCTCCCCCCCTCTCCTCCTCCTCTCCTCGTCCTCGTCCTCCTCCTCCTTCCTCATCTTCCTCCTCCTCCTCCTCCTCCTCCTCCTCCTCCTCCTCCTCCTCCTCCTGGTACTCCTCCCCCTCCCCTCCTCCTCCTCCTCCTCTTCCTGGTCGTCCTCCTCCTCCTGGTCGTCCTCCTCCTCCTGCTCGTCCTCCTCCTCCTCCTGCTCGTCCTTCTTCTCCTGCTCCTCCTGCTCCTCGTCCTGCTCCTGCTCGTCCTCGTCCTCCTGTCTTGCTCGTCCTCCTCCTCGTCGTGCTCTTGCCCCTGCTGAAAATGTGGCCCAGGAATGGGAGTTCTGGGAAGTCGAAGAGCACGAAGTTGCCTACAGTTGGCTACGGGCATTCAAAATGTGGCCCGGGAATGGAGTTCTGGGAACTCGAAGAGCACGAAGTGGCCTACAGTTGGCTCCGGGCATTCAAAATGTGGCCCGGGAATGGAGTTCTGGGAACTCGAAGAGCACGAAGTGGCCTACAGTTGGCTCCGGGCATCCAAAATGTGGCCCGGGAATGGAATTCTGGGAACTCGAAGAGCACGAAGTGTGTGACTGTTGCATCCGGTTATTCTAAATGTGGCCCGGGAATGGCGTTCTGGGATGTCGATGAGCACGAAGTGTGTGACTGTTGCATCCGGTTATTCAGAATGTGGCCCGGGAATGGCGTTCTGGGATCTCGAAGAGCACTTTGTGTGTGACTGTTGCATCCGGGTATTCAGAATGTGGCCTGGGAATGGAGTTCTGGGAAGGCGAAGAGCACGAAGTGTGTGACTGTTGGTGAAAAACGAGCCCGGCACCCTGCCGCCCGGCAACTCCCCAACACCTGCCCGGACCCCCCTGTGGAGTGATCTGTGAGCTCTTTTGAGTCAACTAGAAACCTATCAGCCTTCGCTGTTAGGTAAAAAGGGGCCGGGGGCCCCGGTCACGATTTCCCACGCTGCTGCAATGTGTTCCCGGCGTCGGGCCTCGGGGCCAGTCGAGGGCCCTCCCCGGCGTTCTTCGTCCTCTTCGGGCCTCCGTGGAGGCCCCCCGCCGCCGCGGCCGGCTTCGCCTCGAGATGCAGAGCGGAGGCGGCCCTGGGAGGGGTCTGGGCATCCGAGCTGCCGCGGGCTCGGGCTGGGCCTCAACTGGCCCTCCGACGAGGCGCCCCCTGCCCCCCAGGGGTCCGGCGGCGTGGGGGGGCCTTCTCGGTCGCGGCGCGTATCCTCCCGAGACTCGGCGGCGAGGGAGGGGGGGGGAAGTGAGGAGGGGCGGGCCCGCTCGGAAGGCTCGGAGGTCCCTCGGCCTTCCGAGCAGTTTCCTCGGCCTTCCGCGAATCAGGCACAGGCCTCTCAGAAGGCTGGAGGGCTTCCGAGAAGCCCGCCGCCTTCAGAACAACCATCGTGTTGGGAGGAAGGGGTTGGGAGGATGAAGAGCACGAGCCATGGCATCCAGATGTAGTGCACGGCCATCACCTTCGACCGCCGTCGGGCAATGAGATCCTCCCTCCTCCCAACCCCATCCTCCCAGCCCGAGAGCCGTCCACCCCGAAAGCCTTCCGAGAAGGCCTTCTCCTCCTCGTGCCCCCCCTCGCTCGCCGCCGAGGGGCGGGGCCGAAAGCGCGCCCTGCCGCGCGGGCCCCAGCGGCGCCCAGCTCGGAGGGCCCCCCACGGGCCGACGGCTCGAGGGCCTCGAGGCGCCGGGCCCTGGGCCGCGCCGGCCTCTCCGCCCCCGCACGTGCCCCGAGGCCCAGGAGCCCCCGAAGACGCACGGGAAAGTGTCAATCCTTCTTCATGCCAAATGTGCGTTCAGTCTTTTTGTTGCTCGCATTTTTTGATTAGCCATACAATTACAAGTGTTAGTAGCAGTCGCATTCTTATGCGTATCCGTATGAGTGCTAGTATTAATAGTGGCATGATTATTAGGTTTGGGAGTATTAGTAGTATTGGTATCAGAATTGCTGTTGTTACGCAACGTCTTATCATTTGTCCAGTAGTATTGTTGGTTTTGTTCGTAGCAGTGTTTGTGCTTCTGTCTCTAGTAGTTATAAATATTTGTCGTACTTGTAGTAGTATCCATCTTAAGATTATTAGTAGTAGTAGTAGTAGTAGTAATAGTAGTTGTAGTAGTAGTAGTAGTAGTAGCAGTAGTAGTAGTAGTAGTCGTAGTAGTAGTAGTAGTAGTAGTAGTAGTAGTAGTAGTAGTCGTAGTCGTAGTAGTAGTAGTAGTAGTAGTAGCAGCAGCAGCAGCAGCAGCAGGAGTAGTAGTAGTAGTAGTAGTCGTCGTCGTCGTCGTAGTAGTAGTAGTAGTAGTAGCAGTAGTACTAGTAGTCGTAGTCGTAGTCGTAGTCGTAGTCGTAGTCGTAGATTTTTTATTAATAAAAATCGTAGTTCGTCGCGTAGTAGTAGTAGTAGTAGTAGTAGTGTATGTAGTAGTTATCGTAGTCGTAGTCGTAGTCGTAATCGTCGTCGTAGTGAGCGTAGTCGTCGTCGTAGTCGTAGTCGATAGTCGCAGTAGTAGTCGTAGGCGGTAGTCGTTGTCGGGCGTCGCGTGTCGTAGTCGTAGTCGTAGTCGTAGTCGTAGTCGTAGTCGTAGTCGTAGTCGTAGTCGTAGTCGTAGTCGTAGTCGTAGTCGTAGTCGTAGTAGTAGTAGTAGTAGTAGTAGTAGTAGTAGTAGTAGTAATAGTAGTCGTCGTCGTCGCCGTCGTAGTAGTAGTAGTAGTAGTAGTAGTAGCAGTAGTAGTGGTAGTGGTAGTAGTAGTAGTACTACTACTACTACTACTACTACTACTACTACTACTACTACTACTACTACTACTAGTAGCAATAGTTACCCTTGTTAGCAACAGTAGTAACATTAATAGTTCTACCATTCAAAGAATTATTAGTGTATTATTGTGCATATGAATTGTTGATTGTGTTATCTCTATCTCTCTCTCTCTCTCGTTCTCTTCTCTTTTTGTTGTTCTCTATCTCTCTCTCTGGAGGAGGAGGAGGAGGAGCCTGGGACCTGGCTGCTACGACCCCGAGGTCGGTTCTCGCGGCGTCTTCGCGGCCAGCCCGGGGCGGCCACGGGCGGCCACGGGGCGAAAACCCCGCGGGCCCCGCCAGCGCAGGGGCGGCGATGCGGCGACGGACGGCCACCGGGGCCGGAGCCAAGAAGGCCCAAGGGAGCCCTAAGAGGAGCCCAAGTGTGGCGCAAGACGGCCCCGAGGGCGCCCAGGAGCGCTCCAGGAGCGTTCCAAGAGAGGGCCCAGACGCGATTGCAAGGGCTCCAGAGGAGCGGCCCTATTTGAAGCTGTTTTCGAAGCAGGAGATTTCCTGCGCTGTGTGATTGCTGCACCTGGATGTCGGCCCCTCGACGAAGGCCGTCCCCTCCAGGGCCGCTCGTGGGGCCGCCGGGTTCGTCTCGCGCCCCATGCCTTTGTGGGCGCCCTCACCCCTTTGTGAGGGCGAATGGACGAGTCCAAGAGTGTTCCAAGACGGCCCCAAGGGCGCCCAAGAGCGCTCCAAGAGCGTTCCAAGAGAGGGCCCAGGCGCGATTGCAAGGGCTCCAGAGGAGCGGCCCTATTTGAGGCCGCCCCCCTCTTCTCGGATCGATTTCCTTTTACATGTCCCCAAGATGGCCCCCAGGGCTCCCAAGGGTGCCCCAAGAGGGCCCTAGAAGAGGCGCCCAGGAGGCGCCCCGTCACGCAGACGCGCAGCCGCGGCGCAAGAACCCCCTTAGGGTGCAAGCGGCTTCTGGGCGCCGACGCACCCGAAGAAGAAAACGCCGCGCAGACATAAACTCTCGGAGGAGGAGGAGGAGGAGGAGGAGAAGGAGCAGGAGGAGGAGGAGGAGGAGGAGGAGGAGGAGGAAGCTCCCCGTAGATTTCTTGGGTCGGTGCCGGGGCCGCCCAGGGCGGCGCCTCCGGCGCCGCTCGGGGCGCGCTCCGGCGCGCAGGGGAGGGGGGCCCCGCGCAGATATCCGAGAAATCCGCGCGAACCTTCGAAGTTTTTGTTTGTGCCGCTGTTTCTCCATCAAATGTCGGGGGTCGCTCCAAATGCCCCTGGACCAAGGTGCCCCCAGCTTTTCGCTCCATGCTGGAGCTCACGGGGCCCCGCAGGCTCCCAACGCCGGGGCCTGGGCAGCCGCCGCCGCGCCCCATCCGAGAGCGCGGGCGGACCACCAGACCCCTGGAGACTCGTGGGGGACTAGGAGCAGGAGAAGAAGGAGGAGGAGGAGGAGGAGGAGGGAGGGAGGGAGCTGGGGGACACACAGGGAGGGAGGAAGGAGGCCACCCCCGACGCAAAAGGGAAGCGAGGAAGGGGGAGGAGCGAGGAGGACGACGAGGACGAAGGACGACGGACGAGGCAGGAAGAGAAGGAGGAGCACGAGGAAGGAGGCGGCTGGAGGGAGAGAGGAGGGAGGAAGGGGAGCACAGAGGGGGAGGCGACAGAAAGGAACGAGAAGGAAGTGAAGGAGGCAGAGGAGGAGGAGGAGGAGGAAGAGGGAGGACGCCCAGGAGGAGGTGGAAGAGGAGGAGGGCGGCGAAGACGAAGACGAGGCCGAGGAATCAGCTTTCGTCGTGCCCAAACTTTCTGGCATGAACGTCTGCCGCCAGCCGGCGGAGATTACGACGGGCCCGCGCCGATCTTCGGCGCACACGTAAATCAGGAGGGGAAAAGTCAACAGACACAAGCACGATTCGAATTCCTCAAAAGATTTGGAAAATATGGGAGATGGAGGGGCATACGAGAATCCAGAAAATATTGACAAATTCCCAGAACTCTGGAAGTTGTGTCCCTGAGCCCCTTCAGTAAGAGCGGCCCTTTCTCCGGAGCTGCCCTTGGCGCGCGGCTTTCGGGTGGCGCGGGGGGGCACAGAACCCAAGCGTGCAAGCCGCTGCTATACCGCCGCGTGGTCAGGCAACGGTCGGCAAGCCGCGCACCAAAGGCCACTCTTGCCCAGGCTCGCTCTTGTCAAGCAGTGGCGACACGCCCTGGCTTGCCCACAGGCCCACCAAAGAATATTCGAATAACATTATGTGATTTGCACGAGATGTTCTTAGAACATGTCTGGCTGGGACTGTCTTGTTTGTAACAGATCGGGCTTATGTTCTCAGAACAGCGCTTTGTTCTTACAACATTTTGGGGTTCTACGAACATGTCGCGGTAGGCCTATAGGAATGAGGAATGCCGGGACGATCGGTCCCTGCTCACTCTTGCACGCAGCCGAGATTTGATCCGCCAGCGCGTAGTACAGAAGGCCGTCCCTCGTTGTCGTCGTCGTCGTCGTCGCTCTCGTGCTCGTCGTTCTCCTCGTCGATCGCGTCGTTGTCGCCGTCGTCGTCGCGTCGTCATCTGCATGCTCCCGCGCACACGCAGAAGCCGTGCCTTTGCCGAC